GGGTCCTGTCACCTGAAGACGGGGGCAGAACCAGCTCCGAAACGTCGTGATTTTAGACACAGACGATGGAAAAAGTCCTGACAACGAATAATTTAAAGTGTAAACTACCGTCGTCAAAACGCTTTAGAATTGAAGAGAACAACAAGGCTTTGATGTCAATCATAAACCACAGCTTATGTAATGCTTTTAGGTTTTACATACACCTCATGCTCTAATAATATTTTATTGTGTTTAAATCTTTGGGACAACTCATATTTGGGGTAGGTTAGTGACTTTAAATGTGTTCATTACTTCGGGTTTCAGATAGAAATTTACCCGCTAGATTGGTAGAGTGGAGTCTGCATAAACCAACAACAGGATTTCTCTCCCCTAAAATGCATATAATTGAATTCGTATGTTATATTCCATATATTTTATTTGCGTGAAGTTAGATGTCAGGGTTTGAATAGGAAAGAAATAAATTACAAGAAAACCCATAAAAATTGTTAAGTCAACCAGTCGTACCCTTTTCCATATGGGGGTTGTATACAGAAATGGGAAAATATTGCATTAAAATTGGCCGTTTGAGGGTGTGCTTGTAGGCGACTGTGGTTGTGATCTATTGTAGCGTAAGGGGGGTTGGAAAGAGGGAGAAAAAGCACGGACATACAAAATCATTTGAGAAGTCGAAAATAAAAATGATGTACAGGTTAAAGTCAGTAGTGAAAAAATATATATAACAAAGAAATCAATGAATGTAAGTATGAGTCCAACTGCTGGCTTTGCCTTAGACACAGAAAATGGTTGCAGCTCAGTCAGTAGGCCGCCTGTGGACCTCCACTCGGCGACTGTTCAAAGGGGGTGGAGCAAAGACGCAAATGAACGCATTGGCACTTGGACATAAATACGAGATTGATGATTTTATGTTAGGGAAAAATATGAGCTCTATAGTTACAACGTGGTACAACTGAGATCAACGTAAGCTATTCAGTAGGTACGTCTGGTTTATTCATCACTCTTTGGTACTGAACCATCTGCAAAGTAGACGCCGCTGTTATGTTATGGAGAAAGAGAAACATAATTCAATTATTACAGTTCATTAGATGATAACATGCAATTATTCTTTCTTTTACTTCAGAATTTATTTGATTATCTGCTTTTGAAATATATCTATAATCAACTACTGCTGTTAGATGCCATGTATTCGGTTCATGAACTATAAGTAACCCAAGATTTCGGTACCGGTAATATCAAAACCCACCACTGAACACGACCCTTACCGAGTCTCGTCCTCACCACGTGTCTCCCTGAGACTCATCTTAATAATACTTTACACATCCCTGGTTTTAAAAACGTCCTGCTTATGTTAAATTCACAATTAAATCAAAATAGACTTCCGACTGAGTTGTCTGCGTAAATTTGTCATTAAGCGGTCAGTTTTATAGATCTGTTTCAGTGTGCACATACATAGATCTTTATTTTCCATAGTAAATGAACATGTAGTCACTGATCAAATGAATCTGAAAGTCCTGTAACTGACGTAATGACTGGTTTTATTAAAAACGCTTTCTGGTGAGGAAAGAAAAATCATTAAAAGTTTTAAGGGAGTAAAATGAAGTAAAGACGCTACTTGGGAAATCTTAAAGTAGATGGAAGTATAATATTCAAATGGATTTTAAAGAAATTGTATGTGAGAATTAAGACTGTATTGAAATAGATATAGGGTCCAGTAGAGGTCTGATGTAAACACAGTAACGAAGCGTTGGGTTTCATAGAAAGAGGTCAACGTCTTGACCAAACGAGTGACTATTAACTTCTCAAGACAAACTTGACGTTCAGGCATAAGTGTGGAGTTCAAAGTCTGTATTAGAGACAGGTGTTGTCCAACTGAACAGCATTATACTGAATTGCGAATGTACCATTAATTTTGGGGCAGGGAATTAATATACGATACTAATTTATTCTGTTTTTTTAGGCTACTCCATCATAGGCTCTAATAATTTTCATTTAAAATTAAGACCCAGTCATTCCTTAAGAAATTTAAAGAGGGAATATCAAGGTGATAAAATTTTTATCTAGTGTTCACATTCCCTGACATTTATTTCACCCTTCTCATTATTTATAAGAACTGTATTATTACCAGACAATCCGATTTTTAAAACTCACTGTTAAATATAGCCTCATAGGAACATATAATCAATATTTTATAAAACACGAAATAGTTAAAATACAGCAACAAAGGAGTCCAAATTCCTAATATGCCCATACTGTATCTCAACTTGCCTGTGTTTCACTCCTTAAATCCTCTATAGCTGTATTAATAAAGAGCCTACAAGACCAACTACAAAAATGTGAGGGTTGCTCTGATATAACATGCGGCTTTGGTTAATGATAAGGTTCCTTCTTAACGTATCCATTGTGAGGGGCCGTGTGAGATAGGTCAGTATCACAAAAATGTATGCAGACACACGCACCAATTTCTGAAGTGAGAAGGAGAAGAAGAATAGAATGAAAGGAATAATCCCTGATCAAGATGGAGGGGGTAGTTACAGAGGGTGAAAGCGATGAAGGGGGTGGTGAGTAGGAGGGGGTGCTCCCATCAGGGGGTTTCTACTGTATATACAATTTCCAAACCGTTGCCTCTGTTGACGATGTGACAATAGGCTTTCCGTCTGCCCCTGAATCTGTCACCGATGTGATTGGTCCATGTCGAAGTCAGGGGGTCCGACACCAAATTTTGCTGAATCTCATTATGATATGTGAATATCCTTGTCTCTTTCTCTTCGCCGCCCTCTGAGTAAAGGGAGGTGGGAGTTAGTGGGGGTGGACTTAACATTGTAGGCTTTTGTCGTGCTCTGGAAGCTTTACAGAATAAAGACAGTACAGTCTCTTATTCTAAGAATTGCACAGCTATTGAAACCAATGGAGGAACCACATCGATTACCGAGAGGTAAATGAAGGCCCTTTTCAGTATTTTTCTACATAACAACAATTATTGGGGTCTAGTGTATTTAAATATAGTATTGTTATTAAAATCTTGCATTTATTTAGTGTGAAATGGTCCAGATGCCATATTACGGTTAAAATTATCCGATATAGATTGTACAGATAATTCACTTAAAAATAACTTACTCCGATGATAACCTTCTTCTCCGTTGTAGCTCCGTGCAAACTTGACTGTAGACGACAGCGTTTCAGATACTGAAACTGTCTTCGTCTTCAGAGAGAATCCCTCTTCAAATTTTGCAAATTTAACACGGACGGTTCAACATTCTTCCACCATTCTTCAAACTATCAGTGTTACTGTGACCAAATGAGACTCACTGAGGATTATTCTGTGCGTACTGGTAATTAAATTCTCGCCTACAATCTGCATGCAGCAGAAATGTATTCTTCACAGTAGTGACACCCCGATGTAACCTCGAATTCGCTCTAAGCGACCATGCTGCCTAACTACAAAACCAAATATGAAAATAAAAGGGCACAAGACCCGATGGACCATTGTCTTTAATAAGTGGATATGCATCCACCCTTGTCACTTTGCGTAAAAATATAATATAAACACTACATCTATAACTTATAACTACAAATCGTCATAACCTTCCCAAAGGAAAATCACTTATCTTGATATACGTCTCAAATGTATTTTGTGTGAACAAATTGGATAGGGTTTTCTACATAGCCAACCTTGCTTTTACAGTAGTTCTTACGATAATACTTATAAAGCAGACTGATTTTTTCTCTATTAAAAATACAAATAGTAAATATTAATAATATAAACCTAAAGTAGATGATACCTGACATAAATCCATTATCAAAACTATATCGAGTAAAATTTCATGAACTGATTCCATCTTAGTATAGGCTAAGTATCTTTGCTGCGAAAGACGGTTGGTTGTCTTCTGGGTTGTTACGACCTGGTGATGGAGGCAGCAAGGGCCTCTGAAACGTCGGTAAACTTCTTACCAGAATACACGGTACAACAACCCAGAAGACAGCCATCTTCAGACTCACTGCCGTGAAAACCTCAAATCCTACATACCTATACTTCATTCACCAGCATTTAACACCTGTTTCCAAAGTGTGTAGTTCCCTAAACTTTGCACGTTAATAGAGCGATGAAGTCGTAAATTTGTAGTCATTCTCAGGAAATGATATATCGCAGTGAGGAAAAATTCTAATTACAGGCTATTTGTGACGCAATTGGGTTTTCTGAGTAACACAGAGTGTACGGAATAAGCATTTAGTTAGATGGCTGAAGGAGGGGTACGCTCAGAACTGAAAGGGCAGCTGATAGAATGAAAAGAGGCCCAGTAGCCTGCCGGGGGGTGAAAGTGTGGTGGAAGGGAGGTAAGAGACCCTACGCCTGGACAGTGGTATGGGGAAGTTTAGGGCCTATTTTCATCCATCTCCCTCAACACAACTACTACCATCCCCTTCCGAAAAACCCAAACTTTTAGGGAAAAAGGAATGTACATCAATGGCTACATGAGAGGGACGTGACAGAAGACAGAAAGACGTACTGTGACACATTCAACTTCACCCACTATGGAGCTTCACCCACTTTCACTTGGACGACACAAATCATTTTTCGACCAAGTTACCCATGAGTAAGTTCAGAAATGTGGAAGGCATAAAACTACGTTAGTGACAACTTTCAAGAAGGAAGCATAGTTTGATCTTGATATTGTGACGTCAAATTGCTCTAAGTGTCCTTTTAAATGGACACTTTTTACTACAGTTTTATGAGGATTGAGACTATCATAAACATTTAAATTACAACAAAGAACCATTCGTAATGTGTATAAGTGCATATATTAACGTGTTCTAAATACTATCAGTGAAAAGTGGTCAAGAGGTATTTCGATGCTTAAAATATAACATTTGCTTTGCAATGTCTAGTTCAACTACGACGTTTATCTCAAACGGTACATCAGGAACTTCTGCCTCGAGTAATCCACTTGGGTATTGGAGCAACCAGAATTATCACTTTTATCAACATTACGCTTATCAGAATGGAGGCGGAATAGTTCATCAACAATTTCCTTACCAGCAACACCATGGTATGACTGAAAATGCAGGAACCGTGTACCAGCCACAGGAATGTGGAAGTTCACCTATACATGCACCAGCTGAAGGTCAGAATAATACAACTATGTTGGCTCAAAATACGAAATATTCCACAAATTTACCATCGATGTCATATTCAGTTGTCGGTTTGAATCAAAAGAAACCAAGTTCCAGTCCAAACTCCCTGCAAAACTGTCTGAATATGACTGATGAACGTTTTCACAACAGGTACATTTCAAATTCGTCAACATCATCGATGTATCAAAACCATTACCTACAAACAAACCACGGAATTAGAAGCCCACCGCCGGAAACTCGAAATACACAGATTACAAGAAGTCCTTCTCCCAGAATACCAGAGCATGATGGGTCTTTTTCGTCGATACATCCACAACCAGTCATCGATGTGAAGAAAGAGTCTACTTCACCAATTCTGGGAATGCTTTTAAATAGGACAAATGCTCCTAAAGTAAGTCCAAGTGTCAGTCATTCTGCAGGTTACCAAGAATTTTACAGTCCCTCGCCCTCAGGTACTACAGTACGCGAATTTACGAGTAAAGACAGGAGTGCAGAAGAACGTGACGTATCATTACATCATCAATATGTTGATGATGCGGGAACATCTACCTCAGCAAAGACAAGTGAAGGTGAAGAAGTCGCCTCTCGTCAAGGCTTCGGGAATATTTCTCCACCTCAGAGTCAGATGGAATTTCCGCATGGCCGTTTTGAAGACAGGAAATTACCCCTGGATTGTATGCAGCCGGTAATACCATACGGTGTTGACGGTGGCGGACGTGCTAAAGTGACGTCACACATACAACAAAATAACTTTTATCCGTGGATGAAATCGTACTCAGGTGAGTTGTTACAACCTTAACACGATAAAAGCCAAGTAGGCGTCCTTCTGAACAGTATATTCAAGTGTTTGGTTAATGAAAAATAATTCAGTTCAAATTCGTCCCTACTTCTAATACAAATTTTCGTCCATTTAAACATCTTCCTATCACCAACCATTAAATGTATTTCGCATTATGCATGTTGCACGATTAATATAAATAATCATCAAATAATAAGAATAACAAATCTGGAGATTCCATCATTGGCGACCTCTGTTTACGAAGCAGTCACTATCACTATGAGTGAGAAATGTTCGTAGCTAGATCGTGGACATTAGAGGTTACTATGTACAATAATGATTTAAAAGTACACGTTTCAACTAATAATTTTTAAAATTTATACCAAAATTAAAAGCAATTCTGAATAAAATAAACATGCATATAATGATAAAACCAGCAGTAAAACACCAGGAAGAATTCAATTACAGCTCGTTGCTTGTAACGAGAGTCGTTCACAGACGCCATTTTAACAGTTCACTACAGCTCCGCTATCGGTTGGAATCATTTGAAACTCCGTACACGAACGCGGGAAACATCAAATCTCAAGCATGTAAAAGTGCACTTTTCTATCTTCATTATTGGCTGAGAAAAAAAATGTGGGGCATTACTTAATGAGCGACCCTCGTACAATAATGATTTAAAAGTACACGTTTCAACTAATAATTTTTAAAATTTATACCAAAATTAAAAGCAATTCTGAATAAAATAAACATGCATATAATGATAAAACCAGCAGTAAAACACCAGGAAAATATTTAAAAAATATTATAGATTCATAACATCAGTTAGCCTTCAATCTTACGAAGCATATACAAAATACCTACTCTTTACATTTGCAAACGTCGAAGCGTGCGGGAAAATGAAATTTTAGCTTTGCTATTACTGCCGTAAAAATTTACTTGGATATTATCGTCCGGAGATAGGGATTAGCTCTATCTAGTGGGCCCAACTGAGTAGGAACCTGAAGACGGAGATAGAGCCCCATCTCCGAAACGTCGTTTTACGTTTTTTACGTTTTATTACTAGACGATGGATAATATCCAAGTAAATTTTTATTCAATTGACTTTTCACCATCGTCAAGAAGTTTTAGATTTGCTATTACTGTTTAAAACTGACGGCACAACGAAAAATGACAATGATTAAAATTAATTTACACAAAAAATGAGTTAATCATGCAACCTTTGTCTTACTTTCTCTCATATTAAATCAATTAACATTTGTACAACAATTATAACACATCTACTACGGAGTAAGAATGCGTGAAGTCTTATAAAGTAAGTAAAGTAAAGTAAAGTTTGTCCCACTATACGCCATGTAGGCGTTTGGGGGGAGTGGAGGTATAGCTCCTCTCTTCCTTGACCTCGGCACTAGATGGGAGTGAGTGGTCAGCATCACGCCCTGGCCGGCTTTACCCCCCAGGAAAGGACCCCGGTACCCATTGTAGAGGAGGCTGGGTGGGCCAGTCTTATTTCAATCTGAAGTTGGGAATGTGAGTCTGAACCCAGTTCTCTTCGAATAATGACCTCTATACTTTCACTGTCCTTATACATACATGTTTCATATATACACACATCATTACTGTATGATTTATAGGTGATGTACTTTCACTGTCCTTATACATACATGTTTTATATATACACACATCTTTACTGTATGATTTATAGGTGATGTAAACCAAGGGCCAAAGCGTACGCGGCAGACATACACGAGGTACCAGACATTGGAGTTGGAGAAGGAATTCCACTTCAACCGCTACCTGACCAGAAGACGAAGAATTGAGATCGCCCACGCCCTGTGTCTCACGGAGCGGCAGATCAAGATTTGGTTCCAGAACAGACGCATGAAAGCAAAGAAAGAAACTAAATCACCATTGATAACAACCATTTCATCAGACACTTGTAATCCTATAGAAGACAACTTTAAACAACCACAAGACAAGTCCCTACAAGTTGTCAGCACAACTACGACAACACTTCTCCTGGCGAAACAGCTTGAGCACCAACAGATCTTACTGAAACCGACGAGTCACCCATCACATCAAAATGTAGTAACAACGTGAAATCGATTACTAAATCGATTTGATATGTGAGTAAAAATCAAAATATAGCTTATATTTTAATAAGGAATGAATTAGAATTATATTAATATATTATATAAAACAGATATAAGTAATATTTTAATTACACTGCAAAGCAATTACGTTCTTGTACCGACCTAATCTTACGGTGTTTCAAACTTTTAGTTACTTATGAGACGTTCAGATGTCTAATATTCACTGGCGCATTTGTCTTGTTAAAATATTAAAGTATGAAAAGTGTAGTTGAAAAGTAATCATTGCCAACTTCAGATTTTAAGGCGTCGGTCTCATTATAAGCTGAAGTCCCTGCATTTCACAAGATAATCAAAATGAAATTATAGTTTATAATTTGCCTCCCTGGACCAATGTTTTTCGTGCACCTTGAAATAGCCTTGCAGACAAGATTTCTGTCCAACCACAGGCTGAATGTCACTTAAACCAACCAGTTGTCATTGAAGTAATTACTTTAAATGAAAAAATTTCAGAACGTCAGTGGAAACAGAATTACAAGTGATAAAATTTAAACGAGCATTTAAGCATCAGGAGTAAATTTAAATTGATCTCATCGTTGGCTACACCTCAAGTTGTTGGTCTGCATCAAAGAAATGTTGAACAGGTGAAGTAAGTTCTGAAGGTGCTGGGTTCACGAGTTGATTTATGAAGATGTGGACTGCCAGAGTTGCGAATCTAAACACAGCTTTGCAGTACCCACACCCTAACAGGCGTTGAGTGAAGCAAAGCACAGGAATCCGGCCACTTGTTCAACCAAACCAGAAACCATAATATTTTGACATTTCAACGTTTAATCTTTCTCTCCACTTCCTTCTATTTAATTTATATTGCGCTTTCAGTTATATTTTCAACACCTTAATACATGTTGGGGTAATCGTTTATTGAGTCCACAACATGTTTATTTTTCCAGGAAGCCAACGAGGATTGAAATGTTTCAGGATGACCGAAATAGGATTTTAAAGACCGAAAGTAAATTTATACAGTTCCGTCTAGTTAGTGGCAATGAAATATCACACTCATAACAGATGTTAGACCAACAAGTTCCAAACGTTTCTCTTTTAATTTTATTTACAACTGCCATGCAACGAAAGCCCAGCTCTAGATACACTAGCCGCATGCTATTTAATCGATTACTTAATTTACAGAATATTTTTAACATAGTAACAAACCGATGCTTTCTCTCAATTTGCCTTATTTTTGTAATAATGCAAGTGTTAATCGCGAAAAAGTTTAGGAAAACATAGGCCTGTCTTTAATTAAATTTAGACTGTAATACGCTGTTGCAGTCTTGTGAGAAGTTTCTTTGATATGCCTACTCGTCTGCTTTTCGATCCACATTTTCTCCACTGTAATTCTGAAAATTGAATTGGTGAAAAGGGATCGATCGTTTCATGTTAGATTACTGCTCTGACATTTGTCTAATGAACTGAGAAATGTCTAAGAAATTTACTGGGCAATGCATGTCACACGTGTATCTTGAATTATTTAAATCTACGTCTGTTATGTACGTGTCTGCATGCCCAAATGTACGTAGGCCTACACACTTATATATGTCCTATATTTAGTCTTCATAGTTCTTATAGGCTTATATATGTCTATGGTCTTTCCTTGTGGTTTTTTGTTGGGTTAAGGAGGCCGGGAGTGATGTGGTTTAATTCGGTTGAATTAACTTCGTTGTCGGCTGCTTTGATAGGTCTACTCACTTGAAAGAAACGTCACATAGATTACAGTTTATGATAAGTAATAATCCTAAGTGGTATTTACGAACTAATATTGATTGTACATAGCATGCTGCTTTCTTGGTACGTTTGTTGGTGTTCCCCAATCGTTTTGCTGTTGACGCTGACAAAACTGGCCTACGTGCACGGCAGCCAGTGTCAAATTCAGGATTTTGTTTCTGATATAGGCTAATGAATCAATTAACAGACACTGCATAAAGTAGGCCTGCTCACATAAATTACGCAATTTAGCGTAACGTTCCTCGCTACCAAAGACTTATGCCGAATATGAAGACGCCTAAAACTTAAAATCTTACGTTCAATTAGCTACAGCAAGCAGATTCCAAAATTAAATTTGCAACGTATTCAGTAATTAATATTTTTAATAACTACATACAACCACAGAATAAAAACTCTTTTTCAAATTACTCAACGGGTTAGAACGTTCTGAGCGCTAATACCTGATGTTTCTAACAGGTATTGAGTCGGCTAATAATTTACTGAGAAACATCACGAAAAAATCGTAGGTTGCATAACAACTTATGGAATACACCCTGGACTTCCCAGTAAGGAAGTAGAACGTAACCCCTTCATTAGAGGTCTGCATGAACCTGAGCCTAGTTACACGTATAAAGTTCTGGTTCACGCCTGGTCCAAATTATAGTAATCAACTTTTATCCAGAGAATTTCGGCCGTTCTCGGAATATTTTTTTTTCTCAAAGGCAAAGTTATTCGCATTTGCGTTCGTCTTATGTTCGTAACACAATTGGGCTCCGGAAACTAATCCCACCGACTAGATTGTCTCATAGCATCCCATCTCCTAGAAACATAAACTTGGCATCCGGTATATTTGTACCATTCTTAAAACGGCAAATTACTGTCATTTATGCTTTAAAATAAACACACAAGCTTGTATATTTACTATATGATAGGGCAGATTGTAAATAAATCGTGTTTCGTTAGGGCTGGGACTGGCCGAGAGAAATTTCTGCCCGCGCAGATCTCTGCTAACACAATAAATTACCGCATTTCTACTACGTGATCAGAATAAATTACGTCGAAGACTTGGAATATTCATAAAACTACGTGTGCCTTGAATCCACTTCTTACCGAAAATCCACATAATGTTTCAGTCTCAACAGAACAAAATTACGACCACACTTCTACAGATATTACAGCTTCAGAATGATTTTTGATGCCGTGTCTAAAAGTCTGTCATGGAAATGGTATGTCGGAGAAATTACGATGTTTTAATTACTTTCTACAAAGAAGAACAAAGAAGCTTTCATATCCTTTACATTTTGCGTCTAAGCGACGGACTTCGTGTTGACCGTGGAAGGGAGGGGGGAACTGCCTAGACAGCTGCTGATTCTCTCACCGCGCATGCTCGGTGTAGAGCCACAGAAGCTTCAAAGATGGCGGACACAGAAATGTTAGGGCAATGTATAGCATCCTAAACACGACGTTTATATACAGAAAGGTAAGACAAAATAATGAAAATGTTGACAACAAACTTAACGTGAAGACCTGTGCCAAGTGACTGTGTTTTAATATCGATTTGAAATACTAGAAACTATTAAAATACGTGGTAACATTGAAACAAGCAGTTCGGTTTTACCATGGATGTTCAAAATGACGGTTACTATGTAGCCAAATACTATCTGTGATTTCAAAGTGAAAAATATGGCGCTGCTCAGTGTAAATTTGGACTGATATTAATACAGTTTACTACGTTACTGGAAGAGGCCATTCTTACCCAATTTGTATGATAGGTTTATTAATAACAATTAGCTTCGATTGCCAAATAATTAAAAATATTAAATAGTAACATTTAGGCAAGTTTATAAATGTTTATTGCCTACATTTATTATTATTTAATATCCTTGTGTAATAACATGTAAATCATGACTTTTTGGAGGATAGAGCTTAACGAAATATCTTAAGACAGTGACATTTTATTCCAATTTTTTAAAAAAGTGTAGACTTTAGGAGTTGCTCTTATTTGTGACATATATTTACAGCAAATAATTATTGTTAGATGCCAAATAAAAGTGTTTGTGTTTATTCGAATTATATACGGGATTTTTTCAACTTTCGTGTTTATAAAAACAAGATTCATAACAAAATGATTATAATTAATGCGATGATAATGGTGGAAGTATATGTCGTTACAAAGAAAAAGTTATGGAAATCTAATTATATTAATTTCTTTTAACGTACTAAATCAAGAGCTAAAGGAACCAGTTACAGAGTCAACATAAGCAATTAAATACAGATATAAATAAACAATCATGTACACAGTAAATTATAACGATAAACGTATAAAAAAATGTTAATTACCGATTAATCTATATCAACAAAGAATTAAATTACAAATGGTATTGGCAGCTTACTTGTAGCGAACAGAAAGACACTGGCAGCGTGTAAACGAAGTGTTGAAGCTTTTGTTAGGTCCTTATATACCAATAGTTTTCAGAACGAAGGTCAGGTGATAAAGTCGCTATAAACTTTCCTTTTAAATAACACAGCAAACCAACGCAGTTTCGGATGTAATGAGTTTCATTTTAAGTTGCCCATTAATAATTGCACTGTGTCCTCAATTTCTGCCCCACGGAAAATATAAAACAGTATTAACGGGAAATAGTATTGTATAAATAACATATTTAAAAAGCAATATAATTTACCAATGTGTCGTAATGTTTGAAATTGGTTATTGTTTAATTCGTAGAACGCTATAGGTCGAGGTACTGTAAGACTAATTACTCTGTGTTTACACATTATTAAACATGTTAGAAACCAACAGCATAAATATAGTTAATTTAAATATAAATTTTGTACAATTCATTTTCCATCTTCTTTAACTTACGCTCCTAAAATTGCATTACTATGTATAGATAAAGGAATAAAATATTCCTTGAAAGTATCCGAGAAATGAAACGTTTATTTATTAGTAAACTGACAACAAAACTACAGTTTTGTGTTATAATAATTGTATGGACTTACTGCATAATAATTATGATTATAATTTTTGTTTCGGACGCATTAAGATAACACAACACAGATCTAATATTATGAAGACAGTGTTGAAGGTTTAGAAGCTTTTCTTTCGTGAAAGAGGGGAAGGTAGGTGTGAACTGACGTCCAGACATCCAAACGAGAAACAGTTACAGTCATGGGCGTGAGCCAGTGTAGTTACCAGAAATGTTGTCGTATAAACCCACATTACAAAGTGAAAGATTTTAATAAATTTAAGTCAGAGTTGAGGAAGTGAACGTCCCTAAAACGTGTGTAGGCCTCAACGCATCTATGACAACAGCAACAAATAGATTTGCATTTTTAAAAATGCTGCATTTAACTGGCGATAAACAGGCCTACTGTCGTATAAAAGTGGTTCTGTTGTTCTTTAAATATCATCATAACTGTGCATCTGTTTGGATAGTTTGTTTATTGGTGGTTTTTCAATCAGTTCTTCCAAAACATATGACACGTGCTGTGTCATGCAATCAGACCTGCTCGAAATTTGTATCGGATTGAAGGTGGATATGAATTATTAACTGTTTTGAGAATCAGCTTCTGAAGTAGATTGTAAAAGTCTAAGAAAAATTCACTACCTGTACAGTATAATGTAACTAGTCTAAATATTGAACTGACATAGAACAGATGTTACATACACCTTTTTTGCAAAAAAAAATAATAATAGGAAAGTGTGTTGTTAAGAGATCGATTTCAGTTAAAAAGGCCCTCAAACTATAAGTCTTAGCTACATATATTTTGACCTGGGCGATAGGCAGCTTGATTCAGAAAGAGCTCATAGAATACTTTAAGAGGGGACATGATTCTCGTGGCCTTGAAGATGTCGATGTTGGTCTTTTGGTTTGTATTGCCGACTGGACGTAGGTACCAACGTTTCAGGTCTCAAACCTGACGATGGAGGTAATATGTTCCTTCAAAACGTTGGTTTCCACCTGAAAGTCCACTCGACAATGCCACCCAGAAGCCCAAAATCGACATCCTGCAAGAGGGAGTTGGTGTGATGAGATAGACAATTATTTGTTTATAACTGACTAACGGTAAACCTCGAGTCCGAAAGGGATTGAAAAATCTCTCATTTTGTCTGAATTGTTGGGTTTTATACATTGTCCGTCGTCTGATGTTACTTCATCGTCAGATCCCTTCGAAATTAATCTGTAATTTTGTTCCTGCGTACCGAGAACTATTTTAAATATCCAAGGAACATTAATGTGATAGACGCTTCAGTGTAACATTAAAATTACTGACAGTTTTGTACTTCTTCATTTAACAAAAAATTCCCAATTATTACAAAGCCCGCTTAGAAACGTCACTAACGGCTTATACATTTAAGGGTTGCATTTGGAACTGAATTCAATGTCATCTTCTTTAAAAGCGACTGGCTAATTTCAAAAGAACATATAGTTTAGTTGAAGGCTTTTATTAAAAATACAATTTCTTTGGCAACTCTTAATATTCTAATTAATGTATACAAAGTGAAATGGTACTGCAATTTTAATTAGTAAGGATCTAGGTCTATATAGGCCTACATTTTAAACGATATTTTTTCATTATTCAAGTTTAAAAATATCGATGTATTGACTATAAATTTATTAAGTTATTCGATGTGGTTTTAACATGCCGACTTACAAATTTTCAAGACGAAACGCTTTATCAGTTATTATCATCAATCCAAAGTAATAAATTTTATTTCATTCATTAGTAAATTATATAATGACACTTTACTATCTGGATGAACAATGAATACTGAATTGAAACGGATATGTACAGAAAGAATCATTTTTGGTCTAATTTGAAGTACTATCACGGCATTTTCCGGAAGGACTGAGACAAACCTAGAAAATCCTTTGTCAACAGAGCCAGTCTCTGGGCCGGGATTTGAATACAGAACCTTCCGTGAACGAAACAAGATTGCTAACCACTCCGAAATGTTCTTGCACTAGCCCTGTTACTGTGTTGTTTCTTTAATAAGTTAATGACATCTGTAAACCTAATTCTTCAAGGACGCTACACTGGCTGGATAACGTTGCCTGTTCACACTGCCGCCATTTTCGTATTACAGATGGCAGTAAAATAAAATTACCTCCGTTGGGAGGTCTACAATGAATTACATACCGAATTTCACGCAGAACTGTCCATTAGACACAATACTAGTATCTGTAATGGATCGAGGAAACAGCTAGAGTAGCCGTTACAAAATTGCGTGCTTCAAGGACAAGGAAGGACTTCGCCCTCCACCCCCTCCCCTAAGTCATCATAACAGCGGCGTTACTAGTTTTGCTACGCGGCGAGTTCTGAACTGTTTTCAATCACATGGGCTTCGGTGTCCGTGATCCAACGTTATACGATTTTGGTGTGACCTTGAGGCACGCTATCTGGTAACCGCTGCTGCAGTCAGACTGGCAGTCCATTCGTGTGACTGATTACAAAGAAAAAACGCACTTTCTTTAGAACCGTCAGAAATGTAGTGAATATAAATATGATTTTGGATGTTAGCTAGTGTCGTCCGTATTTTCCGGTCATAACCTTTTCGAATGCCTTAAAACCGAAAAAGAAACTATCTCAAGTTGTGAATCCCTTCTTGAAAGCAGTGTCACCACAATTGAATAAATTTGAAGATGACTGTCTTCTGGTAGTTTACTAACGATTCAGAAGTACTTGCTGTCTTTATCATCAGGGTGATGACAGAAGCAGCAAGTACATCTAAACGGAGTTACAACCAAGCCATCTTTATACTCGCCGCCGTGAAAAACTCAAATCCTGCATTGATTACACTTCACTCGTTCAAACAGTGTAAGATGACACTGCGTTCATTAATGTAAGTAATTAGGTCCAGACATAAACACATACATTCCCTTAGCTAGTTCTTCACACGTAAGGTTGATCTGGAAGTCGAAGAAATAAAACTATTCTCATTTAACCTTCATTGACAGTGACTGATTTAACTGGTATTATTTCAGGGTCCTTGACGTAATTATCTCCATGAACAAAACTCCTTCAGAAGTTGGTATTTGTTCAGTTTGTCAGAAACATTTCCTGCATTTTGTGGAACAAGAAGTATCACTACTCACTTCACAAAACACGCAAATGCCCAGTCTCTTGAACAAGTTTAATTAAATCCATACATTAACGCTTTAACTTGTTTAATATATACAATTTCCTCAGTTACCTAGTTACTCTACGTACGCTGTGCTTGCAAGTTAGAGAGAAGATCTGCATCAGACGTGATGAGCGTGGCGATTGAATTCAGTTTTATTTTTGGGTTGTCCTGGCTTTCAGTCTGATCCTGATGTCCGGTTATTCTGAGTTTGGTCTTGGTTTACTTCAGGCTCTCCATGCAGATGCTAAATAGGCCGCGGTCGGTTCCTTCCCAGGGCATTCACAACCATCGTTCTTTCCACACTATATAATTACCGTAGCTGTCAAGGCGTCGTTAAATAAACTAAGATAGGCCTGAATAAATCCCTAAGAACGGCATGAAGAGAAGTCTCTGTTTCAATCGTCATAAACATATGATCCAATCTCACAGAATTATTTTCGTCTTAAGTACTGCTATATTAATGATTAAAACAACCAATGTCAGTATTTTAACATCTTAGAAGCCCAGTCTCGGCTCAAAGAGCTCCAGTAGGACATCCGTGCTGTAAGATTGTAGTCCCATCATCTTAGAAGCCCAGTCTCGGCTCAAACAGCTCCAGTAGGACATCCGTGCTTTGCAGTGTAATTATGTTCTTTGACGAACGCAGTTCCGAATGTCGTGGTCAGACAGTTGTTCCATATACCAGTCAGCTCGCAAATGCAGCAAGTATTGTGTACATTTAAGCTACTAGTAGAAAATTTAGTACATTAAACATGTTACTGCAGCTGAATGCATACGTTATACGAATATACTAGAAACGAGGCTTTGCAATGCATGGTTAAAACCTTGAAGGCAGCTTCGTGATAAATCTCAACTTCTGACCACAACTTTCTAGGGACTGTACTTCTTTATTAGCTAGTCACATGCAAATAATTAGGTTAGTTTCTTATGTATGTTCGTAAAAGTATGTGCGGTGTTTAAGTATCTTAATGACTGTAAGACAGTGTGCTATTCAAATCACATCTTTCAAATGTTTAGAGATACAAATCAAAAGTAGTTCATTAAACATTTTACAAATTTATTGCAGTATGTAATTAATCTGCAGTGCAAATCTTCAATAAAGATGCCAAATATTTCGGAATACAGGAAGTCGCTCAGCCAGTAAACTGTTGGCGTTCAGAATGTCATCTCCTGTTTTGTTCGGAACTCGAAAGTTGACTTACCATAAAGACAGTACTCAGAAACTGGTTGGTTTCAAGAGTCAGCACACGGCAGTTTATTTAGCCCACATCCAGTGGTAAAAATCAGTGTCACCCCATTTATATTACAAATGACAGAAAGCAGAAATACACGAAACTGAAAATTGTGTTTCCATGTGTATAATTTATTCAGACCTGTACACTTGAATAACTGCGATTTACTGCTTTTTTTAAACTGGTGTTTCTTGACTAGAAACAAGAGTAATTAGGAGAAGAGGAGGGGGCGACTTCAGTCACGCGGTAGCAAGGAATGTCACGTGTTGAAAATTAAATTTGTCAGCGTTTTTCCCGCACCATCCAGCTTTCTCTCACGGCTTTCACTAGCTTAATACTTTCTTCTCGGGGGAAAATACACCTTTCTGGTCGTTTCGTCTCATCATTTTCTTAAACCGAAAACCCAGCTGTTACTTTTTTCACAGAGAAGCTAGAGACCTAGATTCGAAGTTTGTCTAATTGTTTGAAGAGGCGGGTCATATTCAAACCCACTACATATTGTACCAAATCCCTAATAACATATGATCGTGTGTTTCCGGTGGTGGGACATTCAAGTTCAAGCGGATGATCTCGTAACTTTGCAGTCTTGTAAGTCTGTCTGTCTCTCTCTCTCTCATCGCGATGAATTATCAGTCACCCGCCGTCATGGTGGAATCGTAGCGTCTTCCGAGAGTGACGACAAATAATTAGTATGTGCGAATTGGACTTCCTGTGTGCTGACCAGTAGGCCTAGAACAACCCTAAATATCCGTGCCTTAGGCCAAGACGGAAGTGGCGTCTTTTGAATGTATAGATTATGATTGATGCTCAGTAGCAATGGACTGCATAGGACAACAGTTCATGTGTGCATGTAGCTACAGGCCTATATGGAGACGAAGTTTATCAACAATCTTAATTAACATAAATCTTTTAAAAATATAATGCCTAGAGTAAAAAGACGTTCTGGGAAAAACCAACGACCAATTTTATCCAAATGGCAAGAAATCCGAGAATAAATTGTCTGTACCATTTCGTATTCGCCATTTTTTTAGTTCAATTTCGACAAAAAGTTGTACCAATACCGCTCGCAATATCGCACAAATCTTGGGATCTTCCAGTTAACTTCACTGTCATTGCTCTCGTATCTGATGTCCGCTCGGTTGCCATATCTGTATCATTGATGATAGGAAGTTATAAAGTACAAAGGTTAGGTGGCCCCTGGTGGCACAGTGCTCTTACCAAGAAGTTACATGAAAGTCCGACAATAATTCAAAGTCATTAGGGAAAAGCCAAAACAGCGGACATACCGTCCTGGTGGTACCATAAGCCATATGCGTCTTATAAAACAAGGAAAGAAAGCTGTTCAGCATTACTCACTCAAGTCTTTGCGGGAACGTATAGTGTCGCAGTGGCTACAGATCTGTCTGTAGGAAGACAAACATCACGGGTTCGAATTCCGGTTGGAGAATGGATGGATGTAAATCCTCTTTTACTGCCTTACAGAGTCCTGTGCATGTCTGTTAAGCTATGCGACTGTTCAATTCGATGTAAATCCTCTTTTACTGCCTTACATAGTCCTGTGCATGTCTATTAAGCTATGCGACTGTTCAGTCCAATGGTGATAGAATTCATTATTTCAGAATTAGGCTCAATCGTAATGTTTCAGAAGTTAGAATACAAAGGAGATACATTTATTTGAGAAACTTTATTAGCGAATTTATCTTTCCAGTAGTCTTCAAATTAAAGCGATTAATAAAATCCATAAATTTCAATAATCATTGCGACTTTGTTTACGCAGAGAGCAGGCGCAGAAAGATACATGACTCATGAGATGGTGGAGGGGTGATTTATTGTGCTCCGCTCGAAGGGGGTGTTTAAGACTCTCGTGTTAGGGGTTGAGCTTTGGAGGGTGCGGAAATAAGATTATATCCCAGAGGTCAGTATGGTGCGTAAGAATGCGTCTGAGTGGCTTATCTAAGGTGTGTATGCTCAAGTTGATAGAGAAACTCATCATTACACTTTTGTACTCCTCGTCCATAAGTCTTTTTCCAACTACTTATTCAAGAAGGCAAACAAGCCGTTCTGAAATTATAGACCTAAAGTATTAAAAGAGCTAGTAAGGTTTTTCCGTCCCACACACAATAAACTTTTTGATTGTTATAACACAGTAGCTGCAATAAAATTATTGCGGCTGTTTCGGTCATAATTAGATCATCTTCAGGTTGTGTTCAAAACAGAAAATGTATAAAACAATATTATCTACCATTAATGTGTTTATAGTAGTGTGACTATTTCTTTACGTAAGCGTGAAGGTATTCGGGAGTTATAAAATATTAACATTAAGTAAAACAAGTGCGATATTTTTTAAATCGTATTTTGTGTAATGCAATGTCCTTAAAATATCCGTGCAAGCTGGACCCGACAATTTTTCATTTATAAATTCATGACATTTTTAAATATATGAGTCCCGAGTACACTCACGTGAGAAACTCATGCTACCGCAACAGTATTAATAAGCAGCTATAATAATTCTGCTTAATACATTTATAATTTGTAAAGAGTCTGAATGTGGTCCAATTTTGACCGAAACATGTCACTCTATAGTTATTATAAACCCTCTCTGTGGACTGGCTTTAGCACCTTCATATCTAACAGAGTAATAATTTTATTTTAAAAAATTGTCACTTGTGGTGTTCTGAGTTGTGACGTCATGTGGTCCTGTAGGTAGTTACTAACGTTTCAGAGAGCATATTGCCTCCATTTTGAACCCCGAAGACCACAATCGACATCTTCACCGCCCTCAGAATCTACAGTCTCAAAAACCTTTCTGTTTCCTTTTTGTTGTGTTTCAAAAACACGTTATGGCTGGAGGCCTACATGATAAACCCAAGGTCTACAACTTACCTAATAATTTAACTGTTCATGTTAACTTTTGATTATATTCAGGACCTTGAAACTTCTTAAACCACAGTAAATATCCTGGTACAAGCGTCTTGTCTAGATGGAGAATCGCATTTTTAAAAGTGCTTGATGTTAAATTATAAAATAAAAATACCCTGTCAATCTCACTCATATTACAGTGCTGGACCGAAGACTTACCTCTGCGGAACTGATGATCGGCCGTCATGTCTACGCGAACCTGAAATAAATATGAACAGCAAATTTCGTAAAACGAATTACAGATAGTCAAATAAATGCATTTCAATCTCTGCCTGATTAAATGCAACAAGAGTATGATGGCTGATATTCTAGGAAGCCAAGATGACAGCCTTCTGAAATATTGCGCTGTGCAGACTTGTATATAGAATTTGACACGTTTCAGGGG